ATACAAAGTCGTTGGCGTTCGTGTTAATGAGGACGTTTGTCCAGTCATGGATCGAGGTCAAAGGATGAGAAATGGACCTTGCCGATAGAATTCCAAATTGGTTGTCAAAAAAAGGATTGTTCTATAACGAGAATGATAGGATTTCACAGCAAAGTATTTTTTCGGAGGCACGCTAAGGCAACTGAACTATAATCAGTGGTTATATTAAGTGATCCTTTCATTTGAAGGAACATTATGAAACATTTTTTCCACAATGGAACCAGAAGCAGAAGATTTTCGAGATTTAATATTGCTGTAGAGGCAACGAGAATTGCTATTTTTTGAAGGATATAACGAAGTAAATTATCAGATACTGTAAGAGTTTTGAAAGAAATATAATGTGTGCAATGCTTTGATTATATCAAAGTCTGTGGTATCAGCCGTTGAGCTGTAAGAGTATCGTTAAGGACTTTTGTTGATTTCTTAAGAGTATGAATGATTAAATGCAAAGTTGTCTTCGAAGGCATAGTTGTTACGTCCTTAATCGTAGACGAAATTATCATTAGTCACATCAGTTGATGGAATTTAGAATCGTAATTTATAGATTCGTATATAACAAAGTGATAGATGCTTAGGCTTTTTGAAGGATATTCTTGCAATGTTTCAATAAGAGTGGTTAATAGCCTTTCTAGTAGCCCTACCTAAAAGTCTTAAATTTTATCCCATCAAAAGACTTGTAGTATGAAATCTAATTAATTAGTAAGCATGCATAAAGAGGAAGGGTGTTTAATAGGTTCGGATCGACGGGTTGTGAGGGTAATGAAAGAAAATATCGATAGCAACGCATAAAACAGAGACACGAATACGACATTCAGCAGCAACTGTGAGTACTTGGATTGGTGGAGTTAGCGAAGAAATGTACAACAAATTTGTTTATCGAGTATAGAAAAGAGGGCAAACAATGTTTCGGGTGTCCATTAAGCGTTTGATGAAAATAAAGGGTTGAAATTGAGTAGATGGTAATGAAATTGTTGGCTAATTGTGAAGACAGAAGAAGCGCTTTTAAGGCATTATCTATTTACCCTGTCATAATCATATTCTCTTTCTCACGCTTCATTTTGATGCTAAGCTTAGTTGTGCTACTTTACGATAACATTTCATTATTTCGTCGAGTTCTTTCAAAATGACATTTCTTTATCATTTCATTTGGGAGAGTGATCACGTGAAACTAAACTGCCTGTTTGGAACTCTTTTTGTTGCATGAAACCATCGTTGAGCTATGCTCATTCAACGAAAATTTCTGGTGTTCGAGTCATTATATAGATAGAAATTATATAAATTATATAGATAGAAGCATTTCTTCATGTCTAAACGATATGAATGAAACTTGCTTTGCGGATTCCACACTTTCATCTTTTTCAACTCGTTACATCTTTTTGTGCTAGCAACGCGGATCAGCTCTATGTGAACCAGAGAAACCACTGTTATAAAACGTGATAGTCTGATGAATGAACAATAGGCTGGCTCCATGAAGTATTCCATTTGGGCATACTAAAATCAATTATAATAATGAGAGTAAAGAAGGCAAAGTCAAAACAATGCAATAAACACGATCTATACCGAATATGAATATGTGATAATTTGAGACACGCAAACCCATCGTTAATGCGCATTTATATATGATGTTGATGTTGCAACTCATCTAGCATCAACATTCTTATTAATTTCTAACAACAATGCATCTTCCTTTTTATTGCGGACTATTTTTTCGTCTTCATAATTCATGAAATAGTTCACCGACATCATCCTTTCAAGAGTTGATTTGAGCACACTTATTAGGTGACCGTCGACATTTTGCGTCCTCATGTTGCATGCTTTCTCATCGCTCATTTCCAGTCTTGATAATTTGGCAAAATGTTTTGTTCTATTTTGTTTCGCTCTACAACAGTTCTATTCTATTCTGTTGTTCTATTCTATTCCATTCTATTGTGTGAGCTCTTTTTTCGAGAACCGTTCTATTCTATTCTCGCGCTTCTTCTTTGAAA